AAGTTGAAGAAATAACATAAAAATTGTCAGATCAAATCCCTGACTAAATTTGCTACCAAAATTTGTAATTCTTACCCTATCCCCTCTGAAATATACTGTTTCATGTTTATTTTTTAAGTTCCAGAAAGAAAGGGAATGTGAAAAGCACCCTTTTAAAGGGGAAATCACAATAAACTGACTTTTAAAACGTCAAAAACTCACCCAGAAAGGAAGCTTACAAGTAGCTGACCTTTGTGTTGGAGCAGAATTCAGAAGGGAGAGCACTTGCCCAACGTGTATCCAAACAACACAAGAAAACCAGTGGTGTGAGTTTTTTCCTGGAAACTTCAGTCCTGAACACTAAATGTTTCATTTATTTCAGGATGAAGAGAAAGTTCTATTCTTGGGATGAATGTATGAACTTGAGAGAAGTTAAGGTAAAGTCTTAACGATGGAAAAGAATTCAAGACCCAATAGTATGTCATACCTGAGGACAGTAACTAAGATTATTCTAGACTCTTTCCAAAAGATAAATGTGCTTACCTTTCTCCTTTCCCTTCCTAAAGCCATTTCATTTCCTCTTGTTTCGATGTTAGTGAAGAACAGAAAACAGCGAGGACTTCATTTGTGAATGTTCTCCCCTTAAATGATCCCTTTAAAACTCGTGTTATCAGGTTGGGCACAGAGGCAGGAGGATCTCTGTGAGTTTAAGGCTAGCCTTGTCTACATAGTGAGTTCCAGACCAGCTGGGACTACAGGGAGACCCTGTCTCAAAAAGACAAAAATGATTGATTGATTAATTAATTAATTAATTAAAAATGGGCAAAGGATCTGAACAGACACGTCTCCAAAGATACACAAATGGCCATATGTACATGAAAGGCTCCTCAACATTAGGGAATACAAATCAAAATCACAAGACTCAACCTGGACATGGTGGCACACACCTGTAATCCCCAGCATTCCAGAGGCTGAGGCAGAAGGACTAAATAGCTAGGATAGCTAGAACCAAAAGCAGGCAGTAACAGGTGTTGCCAAGGACTTGGGAAGTCTGCATGTGTATGCCACCACGCCCGGCTGGAAAAGCAACTTTTTAAATTACTACATACCATTTCCTTGTATTTATTCTGTGTGATGGGTGAATTTTTTGATACATTGCATGGAGTCTGACATGATTAAGTCAGAAAAAAGTCTGACCCATTTGAATAAACCAAAGGGGAAAATGGCAGGTCAAAATGCAAGGTAAATATCATTGACTTGGTTTATTTATGTAGTTTAGGTTCATTGCTCAAACCATTTACTGCTTGCTTTAATTTTCTGAGATCTTTAAAAATTGTGCAGATATTAAAAATAATTTATTAATATATCTAGAAGAGTTGGAAAATCACCTGCAGTAATTTACCAGCACTAATAAGATTTTGCCGACTTCTATAAATTTCCTTTGAGAATTTGAGTGCTTTTCTGTTTTACAGTCTCTGAAGAAACTGAATCATGCTAATGTGATTAAACTAAAAGAAGTTATCAGAGAAAATGACCATCTTTATTTTATATTTGAATACATGAAAGAAAACCTCTACCAATTAATGAAAGACAGGTATGCCTTTTTATGAAAACTCTATTATTTCTTCATGAGTTCCTTGGATCCTTTCAATATGTCATACTTTATGATTTATAGGTGTATCACTCCAAGAGGTAGATTTCAGTTAACTGATTGTTATTTTCATCACATGGTAGCATCTAACACTGAGGAACCACTATGACACAGCCACCACCCTGCCATTGGAATGCCTGAACAACCAAAGTGAATGTTCATATAAACTTACCAGCCATCTTTACCATTTTGAGTAAAGGTCTCTCATATTCATCAGTAAAGCTACCTTTGAGCAAAAATGAGGAAGTTATCCTCAGCTGTACTTTCAAGCACCTTATGAAAGATTAGTGAATGAAGAAAGGAATAAAGTGGCTTTCAAGGAAAGATGAGGCAGGGCTGGGAGATGGCTCAGTTGGTTGTGTGCCTGCTGCCGAGCATGAAGACCTGAGTTTAGATCCCCAGCACCAAAAGGAAAAACAAAAAGACAGGTGCATGGCTGTGACCCCAGCAGGAGGTACCAGGGAGACTGATGGATTCCTGGAAGTCAATGGCCAGCCAGTCTAGCCAATTGCTGAACTCCAGGCTCAGTGAGAGATCCTGCCTCAAAAAAAATTAAGATGGAGAACAATGAGGGAAGATGCCCAGTGCTGACCTGTGGTCTCCACACACACACACACACACACACACACACACACACACATGCTCACACACACACACACACACACACTCACACACACACACACACACACTCACACACGCTCACACACGCATGCGCTCTCACACGGGATCTGATATTTCATTCCTTACATATATGTGAGTGATAAAATTTAATGTTACCTACATGCAGGCATTAACACTCATACACATAAAGTAAAAATAATAAATAAAATATTTTTTTTAAAAGAAGGAATACTATTTCTTAAGCTTGATAACTTGTGTGAA